GGGGGCACTTGGCCATCAGTTTCCTAGGAACTTGTCGCTCTCCAAGCCTCCCTCTGCTTCTTTACTAAACTCTTTGCAGAAAGTGCCATCCCAGGGGCTTTCTCCATCCAAAGGAGAAGCATCCTGGAAAAACGGATACAGGCTTCGCCCAGCCCAGCCACAGACACCTGCAGGCAGCTCTGGGGCCAAGCAGGGGGAGTCTCGGTGGGGGGAGTCTGGGGGGAGTCAGGCTGGAGCAGGGGGCAGCCTGGGGCCTGCCTCCCTCAAGGAAGGCTGCTGTGAGTCCGCTGGCCAGTGTTGCCTTGGGAGCTGGCAAGAGGCTCGGGGGGAGCCACCAGGACCGCCGGGAGCTGCAACCATGCAGGATTTGCATGCGCATCTGGCATGTTCTTTGGTGACAGAAGATCTCCAAGGCTCTGCCGGGGGCCTTTGCTGGGAGAACATCTGAGTCTTGTCTATGCAAGCGGGCACCGAGCTGGCAGCCAGCACCGGATGTTGCCTTCTATCCACTACTCAAAATGCCTGGCTGCGTGTCCTAGAGGAGTTCGGTGGTGGGGTGTGCTATCCCCCAGCAGAACGTTCCTCTCCGTGGCCTTTTCCAATTGCAAACCCCACAGGGGTCCCAGCAGCCGGGCGGCCCTTTATCTCCCCCGGGGTTGGGAACGGCCGCACTGCTGGCTCGGCCTGGCGCAGGGCCTGGTGCAGAGGCGGGCGGCTCACGCCCCGGGACGCGGTCAGGGCACGGGGACGCGCACGGGGACAGGCCTCCTACCGGGCTCTCCGGAGGCCTCAAGCTCATGTTCCGTGAGGGTGACCCCCATCCAGCCTGTCACTGGCGGCCGCGCTGGAGGTGGGAGCCAAGGACGCGGGGCTCTGGGGGTGTCTGAGAAGGGGCCCGTGTGCGGGGCCCGTGTGGCCCCTGCTGCCCCGCCCTCCTCTGGCCGCCATGCCCTGTGGAGCCTCGCGCTCCCCAGCTTCCTCCTTTCCCGGAAAATCTGCAAAACCTACGCTGGCTCCGCTCATCCCCAGCCCTTGTCTGACTCAGACACCTGTGTCCCGGCTGCTGGCTCTGCGGTCAGCACTCGGGGCCGGGCCGGGCGTCTTCCCTGTGCTGTTTTCCTATCCCACTCCATTCCCCGTACCGAGTCGTGCACCCCCAGGGGTGAAACATGCTCTGGAGCTCCTCCTCCCGGGCTTTTGGGGCGAGCCTGGGACAGGAGAGCGGAGGAGCGCCTGAACGTAAGCTCAGCACCAAGGAAGAAGCCGACCGAAACGGCAGGGCGCGGCCCCGGCGGAGGGACAGGGAAAGGGGGCCCCGGGCCGCGCGGAGGGAGCCGGTGACCCGGGCCACTGACCTTGAGGGCGTTGTGGGATGTGCCGCCAGGCCGCCTCCTGCCCCCGTCCTCCAGCTGCGTCTCGGAGCAGAGCTCCTCCTCGTCCTCCTCCATGATGTCGGACAGGTCGGAGCCCCGGCTACTCTCCGTGTGGTACTCGTCTCCGTGGCAGCAGTGCGGCTGGGGGCCGAGAGCAGGGGACACCGTGGGGCCCCCGGAATCGGGGCCCCCGGGCTGTGCTGCCACCCTTTCCCTGCCTTGCAGCCTTGGGAGCCCCCGACTCGTGCGTGTGCGTGCGCGTGTGTGTGCATGTGCACGTGTGCGTGTGCACATGTGCGTGTGGCTCCCGTCAGCAGTGACAAGGGCCTGCACGTGTCCATCCCATCAAGCGCAGGGAGCCAGGAGGGCAGGGAGACGGCCCGGGGCTGCCCGCTCGGAGCCCCATGGGAACAGGCGCAGACCCTTGCCGGCTCAGGCGGCCACAGGGCTAGGGCACGCGGTGCGTGCAGGGCGGAGGGCGGTGGGAAGCAGGCGTGTACGCACCATATAAAGGCACTGAAGGCTCTTACAAATATCATGTGGTCTAATACGCGCACCGTGGGGCATCTGGAGAACAGCCCAGCCTGGGCAGGCAGTGGACTCCCCCGCCATGGGCTGTGTTCACCCTGCGCCCAGCTTGGGGGCCGTGTGAACGGTTTCACAGGAAAGCCTCCTTGCGGGTTTGGTAACATGCAAACAGAAACACGAAGAGCCCGGCCAGGAGCTCAGCTGCAGTTCAGCACCACGTCCTCACTCACGGAGTGTCCGTCACCGACACCCCCAGCACTGACAGCAAAACAGACTGCAACCCCCCGAAACTGAACGCCCTGACGAGCTCAGATTTACGAACGCGCTCTGCTTTCGCTAGATGGCGGTAAGAAAGGTTTCTTTATTTTCCTGGTGGGCGACAAGACAAATGCATTTCATCGCCTCCTGCGACACACTTATTAAAAACACTCCAGCTTCCGGTTACTACCCTAGATAAAAACATGCAAGCACTTCCAGCCACATTAAGCTCGTGGCCTAAGGTTTTGCCTGCATCGGCGGGGAGCAGTGGCCGGGAAGGTTCTCGGCCTGAGCCTCTGTCACCTCGGGGCTTGAGCTGTTCCAGCTGTCATTCTTTCAGTCAGGCACCAAGGAGAAGACGTACAATGAATGGCTTTAAACACACAGAGACCAGGCTGATCTTAAGGAGGTCGTCCCCCAGGAGTACAGAAAGTGCCCTCCTACACGAGAACGGTCTCATCGGATTCCAACCCCGTGATGAAGGAGTTAACTCGGGATGGAAGCAGGTGTCTACTGCTCGCCAGGGACATCGTTGGTGGGAATCCTATTCCTCTCTCGGTCCTGGGCACATGATGCCCAGTGAGATGTAGCAGGGAGTGACTTTTCTCCCAGTTAAGAGAAAAGTGCCTGCCCAATATATAAATCAATTAATCGCAAACATAAGCAAACTTATCGACAGGAATACTGTAATTGCAAGGGACTGTAATACTCCACTTACAACAATGGACAGATCATCTAGGCAGAAAATCAACGAAGAAACAACGGTCCTGGGGGCGCCCGGGTGGCTTGGTCGGTTAAGCGTCTGACTTAGGCTCACGTCATGATCGCATGGTTCATGGGTTCGAGCCCCACGTCGGGCTCTGTGCTGACAGCTCAGAGCCTGGCACCTGCTTCGGATTCTGTATCTCCCTCTCTCTCTGCCCCTCCCCTAATTCCCACTCTGTCTCTCTCTCTATATCTCAAAAATAAACATTAAAAAAAAAAATTGCCCTGAATGATACACTGGACCAGACGTACTTGACAGATATATTCAGAACTTTTCATCCAAAAGCAGCAGAATACACATTCTTTTTGAGTGCACATGGAACATTCTCCAAGATAGATCACACACTGGGCCACGAAACAGCCCTCAATAAATATAAAAGAACTGAAATCATACCATGCATAGTTTCGGATCACAATGCTATGAAACTTGAAATCAACCACACACACAAAAATTTTGGAAAACCTCCAAATACATGGAGGTTAAGGAACATCCTACTAAAGAACGAATGGGTCAACCAGGAAATTGAAGAAATTAAAAAATATATGGAAGCAAATGAAAATGAAAACACGACAGTCCAAACCCTTTGGGATGCAGTGAAGGCAGTCCTAAGAGGAATATACATTGCAATCCAGGCCTATCTCCAGAAGCAACAAAAATCCCAAATACAAAACCTAACCACACAACCACAGGAACTAGAGGCAGAACAGCAAAGAAATCCCAAGGCCATCAGCAGAAGAGAAATAATAAAGATTAGAGCAGAAATAACCAATACAGAATCCAAAACAACAACAACAACAACAACAACAACAAAAAACCAGTAGAACTGATCAATGAATCTAAGAGCTGGTTTTTTTGAAAGAATAAACAAAACTGATAAACCCCTAGCTAGACTTCTCAAAAAGAAAAGGGAGACACCCCAAATAGATAAAATCATGAATGAAAGGAGGAGAGATCACAACCAACACCACAGAAATACAGATGACTCTCAGAAAATACTATAAAAAAATTATATGCCAACAAACTGGGCAACCTAGAAGAAATGGACAAATTCCTAAGCACCCACAGACTTCCAAAACTCAAACAGGAAGAAACAGAAAATTTGAAGAGACCCATAACCAGCGAAGAAATTGAATCAGTTATCAACAATCTCCCAACACGTAAGAGCCCAGGACCAGATGGCTTCCCTGAGGAATTCTACCAGACATTTAAAGCAGAGTTAATACCTATCCTTCCCTCAAGCTGTTCCAAAAAGTAGAAATGGGAGAAAAACTTCCAGACTCATTCTATGAAGCCAGCATTATCTTGATTCCCAAACCAGACAGAGACCCCAGCACACAGAAGGAGAACTACAGGCCAATATCTCTGATGAATATGGATGTGAAAACTCTCAACAACATAATAGCAAATCAAATTCAACAGTACATTAAAAGAATTATTCACCATGATCAAGTGGGATTCATCCCCGGGATGCAGGGCAGGTTCAATATTCGCACATCAATGTGATCCATCACGTTAATAGAAGAAAGGATAAGAACCATATGGTCCCGTCAGCAGATGCAGAAAAAGCATTTGACAAAATACAGCATCCTTTCTTGATGAAAACCCTCAAGAAAGTCGGGATAGAAGGAATATACTTAAACATCATAGAAGCCATTTATGAAAAGCCCACAGCTGCTATCGTCGTCAACGGGGAACAACGGAGAGCTCTCCCCGAGATCAGGGACGCGACAGGGATGTCTCCTCTCACCACTGTTGTTTAACAAAGTGTTGGAAGTCCCAGCCTCAGCAATCAGCAATCAGGCAACAAAACAAAATCAAAGGCACCCAAATTGGCAAAGAAGAAGTCAAACTTTCACTTTTCCCAGACGACATGATACCCTAAGTGGAAAACTCGAAAGACTCCACCAAAAACCTGCTTCCGCAAAGTCACAGGATATAAACTTAACGCACAGAGATCAGCTGCACCTCTATACACCAACAGTGAATCGGCAGAGAAATCAAGGAACTGGCTGGTCCCACTTACAACTGCACCACACGCAACGGAATACCACTCGACAATGAGAAAGAATGAAATCCTGCCATCTGCAACAACGTGGATGGAACTGGAAGGTATTATGCTGAGTGAAATAACTCAGTCAGAGAAGGACAGACGTATGTTCTCAGTGATACGTGAAATTTAAGAAACTTAACAGAGGACCATGTAGGAAGGGAAGGAAAGAAAATAGTTACAAACTGAAGGGGAGTCAAGCCCTAAGAGACTCTTAAATACAGAGAACAAACTGAGAGTTGATGGGAGGTTGGGGTGGGGGGAGACGGGAAAATGGGCGATGGGCACTGAGGAGGGCACCTGCTGGGAAGAGCACTGGGTGTTGTATGTAAGTGACGCATCATGGGAATCTACTCCCGAAGCCAAGAGCACACCGT